AACTATATTATGCTAGCGGTAGTACGATGCGCAGATACCATAACATTCGCTTAGTTCTATAATATTATGCTGATTCTAACAAGGGAACACACATAGTAAAGAGCATTATATATTGAGAACGTAGAGAACAATGTACAGGGCATAAAGATATTATAACATAATTATTCCTACTAAGTGATCATACAACACAATAGTAATCACAAAATGCCAATCACACAACGCAACGGCAATCACGGCAAAGGGCACTTGATCACAGCAATCAGAGACCTTTACTGCACCGGCAATTGCCAGCAACAACGACGGGCTCCCCTCCAGGTGATCCTCTGTTATCGACTCGTACCCCTCCAGTCAGTTATGTCAGGCTTGTTAAAAGTCCATCGATACATTTTAACTATGAAAATTCTTCCATCAGCTAATTAGAGTATCCTGTCAAACCCGTCGATACGTTGAGTAAAATAGAAATGTTGAAAATTGCTAGCTTCGACTTATCGCGGAGTCTACGGCGGGTGAGGACACCGCCTTAGTCTAACAGCAGCCAAGACGCCGGGTTATCAAAGTCACGATCAAAAAGTGTAAACCTGGTCCTGCGGTTTCAGATAGCCCATTTGTTTCCCAACAGCCCACAGGGTTTATGGCCTTTGATTAGTGAGAACTACTGTACTCAGTGAGGGCTTGGTGTTTTTTCGGTGTCGTCGTTATGAGGGTAATTGCGCAGAGCAGACTGATGGCCTTCGTGAAGGCCTTGAGGGAGAGGCAGTTGCGCAAAGCAGACTGGTTTGCTACCATATGAGGTGATTTGCTCCGGAGTTAATGCAGTCACGAAGACAAGTCATCAAGGCAAGTCAAAGGGAGTCAAAAGGGAGTCCAGGAAATCCAGAGGAGGAGAAGCTGGGGCCTTCTGCAAAATGAAGGGCTTGAACCAAATGCGCAAAGCAGACTGATTGTCGCACTTCTAAAAGCTGGGGTGATCAAGCCCAGCAGTTAGAGGCGGAGGAAAAATGGCCGGGTGATTTGTCGACTGTGGCCTGCTCTGCTTCAAAACCTTGGAAAGCCAGTCTTCAACCTTCAGCAGCAAAGTGCTTTTGTTCCAGTTTCGTAGGGTCATAGCAGCAAAGCCGCTCTGCCAGCTGCAATATTCAAGCAATGAAACATGGAAATCGGCTCGGTGACAGGTGAAAGTGCCCAGAGTTTCTGAAGAAGGCGCCTGCAAAGACATTAACAGACTGAAGAAGCACCACTCAAGAGACTACGTTGTACGCCATATGAGCTGACTCGAAGCAGAGGAGGCTGCCAAGGAAGAGGAGGCAAAGGGTTTGTCGGAGGAGGGGTTGATACTGTACAATGAGGTTCAAAGCTGTTCAGGGCCGCCTTTCTGCGGACGACCCTGATCGATTCCCTGTATTGAGCAAGGTCAGGCAATGTTCATATCACCGGGGCATCCATGTTGTGCCATGCCACGGTGTCTAGCTGGCTTTGTAGCTGCCGCTGGATTTACTCTACGGTCCGTACTGGCTGACGGCAACCAACGGGAACGATGATCCACCAAGAGTCCGTCCCGCGGCCCCGGAACATTACACCATATCCTTTGACAGGACATTTGAGCGACAGCAGCGCATATCCCGACGCGTATAATGGTTTTGGATGCTGCTCGGGTTCTTTTCATCGTGTCGCATCTTGATTTGACTATTGATACCAGGCCGGAGGAGTTGCGGTTGATGCCAGCTGCAGGCAAGTACTTGAACTGCCCAAACGAGTCCTCCTCCTGGGCTCAATTCCATCAGCATTGATATTACCCTGAGCTTCATTGTGTATCTCAGTCTGGCTCTTCTTCACATTTAGCATTTCCTATTTACTCACAACCAAGTTTTGGTGCGACACCACCCGCGGATAGCGTCTAGTTAGTGCCCAACCCGCAATGACGTCAACGGGCATCGGCTAACGCGCTGTTCACGACGTGCAACTTGCGGTCAGCAACCGCCATGCCCACGATGATGATTGCGCGACATATGGAGCAATCACAGCGCCTCCCTATCATGCACGGGCGATCTTCAGACCCTGTGCCGCTCGAGAGCCAGTGCGTCATCCTGTAGAGGGGCCGGTGGGTTTTGCTGTCTATGTTCAGGTCACGATCCCTACTCCTACCATATACTCGACAGGTAGACGCTGGAGAGAACAGTCTGTACGCACTTCTTGATTATCAAAGTTCACTTTGGCAGACGTGTTCTTTCCTCCCTTCTTGAGCCTTTTGGAAAGTCTGATCAATCTTTACACGAACTTTTTCGTGGGCGCGTGCTCACACAAACACCGGCAAGATGAATTACGCATCATGGATTGAGGAGAAGAAGCTGAAGGTGAGCATTCCTTACTGATGGTATCCTCACGGATGCGCGACTGACAATTATTCTCAGCAAACCTTCATCATGGCGACGCTAGCTTCGACCCTCGTTGGTACTTTCACAGCCTCCATGGGCCTCTGGGAGCGAGTTCATGACCGACGTGAATCGCACAAGCAAAAGGTTCGCGACACAAAACAAGATGGTGAGATCAAGCAACTGCGCGAGCAATTCGAGAAGGCGCAACAATCGGCAGAAGGGCGGCAACAGGAGATCGACAGATTGAAGAGTGGGGGTGGGGACCGCGGAGGTGGCCGCGATGATCCCGGAAGGAACTTTGAGCGAGACGGTATGATGATCCAGCGCATGTATGATGAAGGATATGGGAGAATGGGAAGTCGCTTTGCCCAAGGTGACGGTATGTGGAACCTCTGTCTTGAAGACCAATATTCCAGCGAGACTGATGACTTTGCAGCCATTGTCGAAAACCAGCTCCAAGCCCAAATCATCTCTCTGCAGCAGACCGTCATCAATGTGCTTCAAGACGCACTCTACAATGACCGGCAACTCACACGTGCCGACATGGCAAAGCTAGTCGCGGCTTCCAACTCGGCGCGCGAAGGATCACTCGAAGCAATGCGACAAGCACAACAGCGACTGGGATCCAATCAAGGGTCCATTCGCTCTCCATCTCCACAGCGCTCGATTGCTGCGCCCCCGAGGCGCGCCTCAACGGTCATAATGGACGGGCCCGATCATCTATTCTGCCGTTACAGCCTCGATCTTCAATACGTGCAAAATAAACCTCTGGCATCGACCTTTGCGCCTGGCGGCTCATCTCAGTGCCCCGCATGCGGTGTCCGTCTCGATGTGACAGCGGACGACTTCTGGATGATAGGGAAACGCACACCTATGACCATCATTGACCAGGGATATGAGACGGAAATCATGGAGACGAGAGAATTCCGTCTGGGTCAAAGATTCGTTGTCAAGTGTCACACGCCGGACGGCGAATATGCGTGCACGATATGCAACAAGGGTCGCGATGTTGATGCGATTTGTCGAACTGTAGAGAGCTTGGTCAAGCATGTGGGGACCTATCATAACATGGAAGAGTTGGAGAGAGAGATTGACCTAAGGGAAGTGAAAGTTGATACCCGGAGGCTGAGTTTGCCTGCGCCGAGAGCGCCGAGTCCACCAGGGATGGTTAGAAGAGAGGTCATTGAGGAGTATCGGTAGAGGATGTTTAGGCTGCTGGACAGTGGAGACTGTTTCTTGGTACGAGAGGCGCAACGGATCAAGACTGAACACCACTATGATTCTCGAAGGGAGGTTTCTTTGCAGAGCATAGAGCGAAGGAGGGCATGGCTCTTCTTCAGATGATGAGGAAAGAAACACGAATAACGAAGTTATGACATGAATTCAGCAACATTTAGTAATACCAGTATATTACTACAAATCACACTCATGTAATTCTTATAATCTATGTATGCCACTATATTCCTTGACTACTAGAACCAAGCAATTCCATAACTGGCCCATGCCAGCAGCCTTGTTTCCAACTCCACTCGCACAAGGAAGACGAGCGACCCAACAAGGCCAAACGCAGTGGAACCCCTGCATTAGAGACTGATCGATAAAGCTTAAACCAACGTCTATATGATCTCAAGCTCTCACAAGCAAGATCTGAGATCACACTGTGCCGATGTTCCGGTGAATGTTCCTGCTGCTCGAATAGGCAATGGTGGTCTGTGCGTGTGGATACGTCACCATTGGTCTGGGGAAGGCGGGACACATGAACAACGAGCTGTTGCGATGTCCAACATGCGATTTATTGAGCATCAACGTTGCATTTCCTTATTATTAGGATCGTATCTACGGTTGAACGTCTGCACAACTTCTCGGAACAGTGCGCAGTCGAATCGAATCGAAGACGAAGCCGCTTCGCACTGTTCGGTACTCATGAGGTGACAATAACCTTTGCACAGGGTGGATGAGCGACCTATATTTCGATTCCATACCCATGGATCAAACCCACTAATTTTAGATATGGATATCTCGAAAGCCCCATGGATCTGCAGCAATCTCGTGGTCGCATGGTACCCAAACATAGGTGTTGTATCGGCCAGTGACCCAGCTCACAGGCTCGCGGAACCCTGGCCGGCTAAAGCAAGGTAAGAATTTCAACACATCAGTCAATTCTACCTGGAGAGTATCGATCTATGCGTACCATACAGCAGGTGAGTAACAGAGTTGCGGAACGGAGCAGCCGCCGAAGGGAAGGCCGCATGGTGCAGCTCTATCAGCAAGGACCCAAAATGCGTACGAAGGTCTTTCCTATCCTTTTTCTCTTTCGAGTTTTCTTCCCATACGTTATCCTTCCTTTTTGATTTCAATGTTTCTCTTCGTTCAAGACACCATTCCATGGATTCCCCATGGGCCTGGCTGGGCGCAAAGTCACATGCCCTCGCGTTCCCCGGATCTCCACCGCACGGCCCACACAATCGAAAAAATCTCTGCATTCTCAACGCTACACTCCCAACCGCTCCATCGACTACCCTTGCAAACAAAACTCATACCTTAAAGTGACGTTCAGGGACGTCTTTGATTGTTCGTCCCGCGATATATCTCAGACTTTCCGTCATGTCTTCATCAAAGCATCAGCAAGCCCGGCTGGCACAATCGGTAGCGCGTGAGACTCTTAATCTCAAGGTTGTGGGTTCGAGCCCCACGTCGGGCTCTTTCTTTTTGTCCATTCAGATTCCTGGTGCGACGTTGTGGGTTGGAGATATCTTAGGTCGAATTTGGAGCTGTGAGGGTGAATGGTGGTCTGTACGCCCTACTGTAGCACACATGCTACAATTGGTGACCTGCTTTTTGCACGGTGCCTTGAGACGGCTCTTAGTCTCCTAATGAGTTGTGTTACTACTTGTTGGAATTCACTTCTTGTTGTTTTGGTTTCAATCAGTTCGTCATCCTCACGGTTTCATGTCATCATTCAATAGTGTGTTCTTTTTTACCTCTTTTTCGCCCATCTTGCTGTGAGGGGTTCTAAGGAGGTACTATACGTAAGTTCGTATAACAGTTACTTGACTTTGATAGGCCTTTCTACCCCTATACAGACAACAAACCATGAGGTGGGTACCTGGCAGTCCGTCTGGTCGGAATCGACGTCATGCTCTATGGTCACAACGATATGCTCATCGTTTCGCACCGAGTGGCAGCCTACCTACATCAGGCTGTCCTCCACATCTTCAGACCCTCTATAACGTGTCGTGCCGTAGCAGTTCGCGGTTGAAGTCACTAACTGGCGTTGTATATGTCTCAGCGCGCCGCGAGCAATCACTACGACAAGATCCGAATGCGTTCCACCCTACAGTCTGGTGCCAGAGCTGCCAAAACCACAAAACGACGAAAGCACAGGCAGGGTAACATCATTTCATTGCTACCACATTAGCATCGATCATAATCATTGTTCATCCTCCCACACTTTGTAAAAGCTAAGATACATTGATCTGCCAGCTACTTATACTCTCCATTCTACGACCCAGCCAACTGACGGACCAACCATGTTCCCTGAACTCCTTCCCTTCCCTTGCTTGATCCATTCTTTTAGAAGTTCTGAGCAATATTCGCGCCTCTAAGTCGCAGTACACTCCCAACACCATCCTGCGCAGACTCCGCACTCCTTGTCTCCGGTTCCGCTAATTCCACACACCGAGCTCTATCCCAGTGTCTTCCGTACTGCGGGATTGAAGATTCGCTGTCTTGGCTTTGTAGTTCTGGTATTTTGGGTCCGTTGTTGGCGTTGACGTCGATACTGTGACTGGGGTTGGGGTTGGGGTTGTCGTCGAATTGACCACATCCCAATTCAGAAACAGGGCTCAATACAGCACCACCGTCGAGTTCAGAGACGGTGGGATGAGTACCGAGTTCAGAGATAGTGGGGCTGATAGGCGTACTATGCAATCCTGAAGCGCGGACATGAGTACCGAGTTCAGAAACATCAGGACTGTGGGGCGTGCACTTGTTACGGGGACCCGAGGCGTAGGTGTAAGTAGTGCTACGACCGGGTTCAGACATAATCGGCGTAACAACAGATTCGTGATGGAGTTCCGCGACCGCCTGATTCGTACTTCCAAGTTCCAACACTGGACTCGCCAAACCATCACTGTATACGTCCACACTCTTCCCTTTCTCAGGCGAAGCAACAGACGCAGCAGCACCACCCCACATCGGAACCGGAGACCTAGCAGCCATGAACCGCAAATCCTCAACCCCCACCCCATCACCATCCCTCTTATAGTCAAACGCCCTCGCAGAATAACTCGTTTGTGCAATCTCATTCCCACCAAAACCCCCTCCACGCAAAACAGGCATCGAATTATCCTTCTCCCTCACACTGACAGGGGCAAATCGTTCCGGCGATACGGCATCTGTATTCTGAACGCCGGCGAGAGCTCTCATCGAGCCATTGCAGTTAGGGCGTTTGGGTTCGCGGTCGGGGAGCCAGTAGTCTGGGGGTGTGGCGTGGGGTTTGGACTTTGACTTGCGGCGGAGGAGGTAGTATGTTAGGCCGATTGTGAGGGTGAGGACGCAGGCGCCGCCGGCTGCTGTGCCGGAGATTGCGGCGGTGGAAAGGGGAGGGGAGGGGGAGGGGGTCGTTGCGTTGAGGTGTGCGTGGGTGGAGGAGATGGGGTTGAATGCTGTGACGGTGGTGGAGAGGAGGAGGGTGGTTGGTGCGGTGTTGTCTGGGTTGGGGTTGTCGTGGTCTGTAGCGATGACTACGCTTTGGATATCAGTGGTGTTGGGCTCGTTGGCTGTTGATGTGGGGGTTGTCGAGTCCGAGGTCGATGTAGCAGGATCGTTCTTCGAAGTCATCGTCTCTCCATCCTCAACAGACGACAAACTCGACGAAACCTCTTCCATCGTCGTCGTAAGCTCCTCCCCCGACGTCGACGTCGCTCCCCCAGTCATAGTCTGCACCCGCGTCGTATACTCCGACCTTGTAGCCGCAGTAAGCCAGTCATTGATCTCCTCCCCAGGCAGCGTGGACGGAAACGGACTCGCCACCTTTTCGCACTCCACACGAAACGTATTCAGTACATCTACCACCCAGTCAGTCAACACAACACCCAGCCACAACTCCACCAACATCTCCCAACCCCATACATACCATAAAGATCCTGATCGCTAACCGCGCAAAACCTTACAAGACAAGCTTGATACTTGACCATCCACTGCTCAACAACATGCCCATTGTGGTCCTGCTCCTCGCACAAGCCGCGGAGATTGGTGGCGCAAGGGCCGCTGGCGTTGGCTTCGTCGAAGAGACATTTTTTCTACATGGTGGTTTAGTCCCCGGTTTATCCACGGTGAAGACATGCGTGGGTGTATGAACTTACAGTACAAACATGTAGTTTAAGCGGAGAAGCGCTCTTTTCGCATCCCGCTGCTAGCTGCACAAACGACACCAGCGACAGTAGGAGGCGGAGAAACAATGACATCTCCATTCTGCCGTTCTGACACACCAACGCTGAGGAGTGTGTGCGTGTATTTGCAAAGAAAATTTTCTCGGGGCGAGGGCGTTTGGCTGTCCCGTCTTATTACTTGAGTCTGCTTAATTTTAGTCGTTTGTTTGCTCTTTCCTCATATAGACACACGACTAAGTTGACAACACGATTACCCGCCCAATAACCCATGCAGATCGCACAAGAGCACAGGACAGCATGGCACAGCGCAAGACACGGACGGGTGTTGTAATGGGAAGACGGCAGCCTGCATGTTCAATTTTGGTTGTACGACGTGTTTGCATGCAGCGCCTGTGCACTGCCCCGCTTGTGGAAGTGCGAGAGGGATTATTTTGAAAGAGTAGGGTGGTGTGAGAATTGGGGCCTTTTCACTGATTTAATATGCAGGACGGGCGGGTGCCGATGATGGGATAGTGGATAGCCGTTGAAGATATACCTATGGCATGTCCTTGTATTATCGACAGTCTCCATCCCACATCACGACGCGATATCTTCCACCAACGTCGTCAACGAAGCAAATTAGCAACGCATCTTCGCTGATCCTCAATCATAGTACCCCCTCCCCTGCCTCTCTTCAGACACCTCTCCACGCTGCGGATAGACACCCTGTCTACCCCTCTGAATATGCTCCACATACCCACTCGCACCTCCCTGACCACCAGCACCATGACCCTCATCCCACACCCCATCCCCCCTCGCAACTCCAACCGGCACAATCTCATCCCCATACTCACTCTCACTACACCGTCTCTGCAGCCCCTCCCCAACCCCCAAACTCCGCGCCACACTCTTCTTCCCCAACCCCAACGGCCCCCCTATCATCGTCGTCCCCCCCTCCGTCAACGGCAAACTAGCCGTGCTCTTCCCTGTTAAATTCCGAATATACGCGCTAACGCCATGCGCGCTCTGGCGATCTACGAGCTCAGCATTGCGCTTTTGGACTTGTTTTACTTTGCGTTTGGCGCGGTAAAAGGTTATTCCTAGGACGATAAGGATGGCGAGGACGGCGAGGATACCGATGCTGATTCCGGCTTTTGCGCCGTCGGAGAGGGGCGGGCGGGCGGTGTAGGGGGTGGGGTGGGGGGTGGCGGAATCGGGGGGGGGGGGGGGGGGGGGGGGGGGGGGGGGGGGGGGGGGGGGGGGGGGGGGGCGGAATCGGCGGGGGAGGTGTTGGAGAGGGGAGGGGCGGTCTCGTAGGAGGGGGGGAGGTAGGGTTCCCATTGTTTGGGTATGTCGATGAGGGTTGTATTTGCTTGGGTGCATTGGTAGACTAGGTAGGCCAGGAATTCTGGTTTGTGTTAGTCCTGGGGGTCTGGAATAGATGGCAAGGGTAGTGAGAACGCACCTTCTTTCGAAATGTCACCGGTGCACTCGTCGAGTACACATTGTTGGTCGAATTGTGTGTTTTTCGCCATGGAGTTGCTGACTTTGCAGATGCACTTGAAGTCCTCATTATCGCACATGGGCTTGTTATCGCCTTTTCTCATGCAGTGAGGCTCGATCTGTAAGTCGTTAGCCGGCCATCGTCATTGAGATTATGCGGTATAGTCTCACATTGCATATAGGAAATTGAAAGCCAGCACCATAGCTTGAGCTAGGTCCCACGGAACTTGTCTCAGTCGCCGTACTTGATATCTTAGAGGGTGTCTGCAATGTCGAGGCAGCAGCTGACGTGATCGTAACTATCGACATGACGGTGGTTGCTGCGCCAGTTGGAGACACGTCGACAGTCAAAACGCTCGACAGGCGTGTAGAGGAGGAGGTTGCACTACCGCTCGAAGGGCGAGGTAGCAATGGATCTTGGGCGTACGCTGCCCACTCACCTGGTATATCTACCAACTGTTTTTGGGCCTTGTCACAAGCTTCTCGGTATGCGCGTATAAAGGCTGCACGCACCCCATTAGCGCGAGCACCCGCGTGTGACGGGGATGTAGGACAACGTACCTCTCATTCTGTCGCCGTCCGCGCACTGCGAGAAGACACAATGCGAGTCGTAGTAGTCATTAGCACCTAAGCTGTTTGTTTTGCGACAGACGCATTCAAAGTACGAGTCGGACTTCATAGCGTCGCAGCCTAATGCCACATATTTCTGTTCATTGGTGAACTGCCTCTTCCTCTCATCCTGACAAGCCACGGAAATCTATTGGGATTGTTAGTTGTTCATCTTGGCCGTGCAAAGACACCTGTCAGACCGCTCACCCTACATGGT